AGAGAGAGAGAGAGAGAGAGAGAGAGAGAGAGAGAGAGAGAGAGAGAGAGATTAATATCAGACTCGAGTTGTTTAACTTTTTGTACTTCGACTTTCTCACCTTATTAGGTCTACACAATAAAAGATCATTCCAAAAACAGGTCTCGCAGTACTGTGAGTTTAGGGCACGGGGCAGGGTAAAGTGAGGGCTCTTTTTTATTGTTCTATTGTCACCCGAGACAACTTGGGCGCCTAAACATAAAGAAAACCGAAACAATGCTGATAAGCAGAAAAACTCCAACCCCAACATGCAATATCAAAATCAATGATACCACCCTCAAGCAAGTACAACGTTTTAAATATTTGGGGACCATTATATCACAGATGGGAGATGTCACACTGAAATTAAAAGCCGCATTTGCCAAGCAAAAGCAGCCTTCCACAAAATGAAAGAGATACATGTACTAACAAAACATCAATCTGTCTCTGGAAACGAGAAAAAGAGTATTGAAAAGTTACATCGAGCCAATCCTATTATACGGGTGCGAAGCATGTACAATCAATAAACAGCTGGAAAGAGCAATTGTGACTACAGAGTGTTCGTTCATAAGAGGCATGCTACGTATCCCATGGACGGCTAGAAAAACTAATGAACAAGTCTTGGTTGAAGCAAATTATAGAAGACAACTTATGACGAATATAAGAAAGCGACAGGCAAGTTTTTTCCCCGACACAGTACGAAAAGAAGCATTGGAGAATATTGTAACAACAGGCAAGTTAGATGGAAAGAGAGGCAGAGGCAGACAGAGGGAAAAGATATTGGACAAGATGACAACTTGGCTAGGAGCAACAAGAACAACAGACACCCTTTCTGCAACGCAAGACAGAGTGAAGTGGAGGTCCATGATCGCCCACGCCAGTCGGCAAGGCACCCCTCACCCCCCCCCTTTCTAAACGAAAACACGAGCTATACATGCGCTGTGTAGACATGGGACTAAGACGCCAGTAATGAAATGGGACATTTTCTCCGTAACTTAATTCTGTCCCTCACACATTGGCGTAGTGAGAGGCGAAATCTGGAGACTGCTCGTGGCCGC